CTCATGCCATATGTGGATTCCATCCATTCAATGTTCTTCCGCAAGCTCTCCAGCCTCTCCAACCCAGTGTCCATAAGGCACCCATCTGCTCATGCAGCACATTTGTGTCAGCCAGCCACCATGGTGCCCAAATCAAGGCACCTGCTTTTCATGTCATAGACATGACAACTCAGTCCACCCCAGGAATGCCTTATGGCTGTCTTGTGGATGGCACGATACTCTCGAACATTCACCAAAGCATTGCCAAACTCTAACAGTGGCCCAGCAATATTTAGTGCATCTGAAAGTGACCCCGTCATTCACTTGCTGTTACATGATAACGGCAGAGCAAGAAGACAGAATGCATGCTTTTCAGTACTTCCGATGCCTTGCTAGCACAGCTGAACCTTGACAACTCTCAAAAAGGCACATTGCCATTAGCATGGACACCAAAGAATTAACAGCATCTGCCATGCAATTGAGGGTAAATCCCACAACTGCAGATGACTGAGCAGTATGGAAGTAAAACACCTCACACTCCTGCACTAATTCTTGGTAGCTTGCTCTTGGCACCTTTCAGGATTATCAACATTGGCACATCTATGGCCAAGAGTCATTGCAATTGAAACAACATGTTTTCGCTGACATTTCCTATTTCCTGGATAGGCATAAGAACTTGAGTGACAGCGACAACCAGCAACCTCCTTGGCAGTGGAACAGTTGTACTGTTGCTGGCTCTTGTAGAGCAGTCACCTGCTCCCAAGGAGAGCCTGAATGCATTACCTGGCTCCTATTTCTTTAGTCCGTGTTCCAGACTACAATATATGCATGGTCATTTATGTTCTGTTACTGTTGACATTCTGATGGCCTTTGAAGTGCCAGCACTTAATGTGCAATGGACAGCACATGGAACACATGCTCTTGTCAGAGAGCAGACACAGCTATGCGTCAAGATTTGCTCAACACCTGGAAGTTTTGATTACCAGTCAACTTACATATATTCTTCCCACTGCTGTCCACGGTATTCTTAATGCTGCTCTCCAAGGCTTCATACACAATGGAAGATTCCACTAGGAATTTCAAAAAACCCTCACGGCTGTACTTCCACTGGTGCAGACAAGCACGCTGAATCAGAACCATTTGGATCCGACGAATGTAGGCATTTGCACCAGTTATTCACATACCATGTCAGCACTTTATCATAACCTGCCAATTTTTGAACCAATTCATACATTCTTCTCACCAAGAACCTTCCAGACCATTTTCTCACCACAACGAAGTTGGCTGTATTGACAGCACAATGGACTTTGCAGTCTCTGACTGGCGATTGCATACACTTGATACGCTGGCAGCAGTACGATTCCCTGGAAAATCTGTTCAAGAACTAAAATGATTTGGCTACAGAAAAAAACTATAGTGTCTTTGTTCCAGCGCAATTACCCTTGTCAGGAGACGATTTCCACAATAATAACTCATTTGCTGCCCCTGTCTGCCCTGCAACCTTCAACTGATACATTGGGAGATTGAATGAAATTCCAGTTTGCTTGCCAATTCCGGCTTCCACTCGCCAAAGCTGCTACTGCATCACTGATGAAGAACAGGGATACTGGAAAACATCAGCACAGCCTTGGGAAACAATGTGCAACAGGTTAGCATCAACAAAGAATAAATATGGTGTCCAGTATGTTCGCCAGTTGGCATTGACTGACACAACCACTATCCCAGCAACAATTCGTCCTACCGATTTGAATGGTTTAGGGGCAGATTCTTGGCCCCCCTCCTTTGCTTGGTCCTTTGTGTGCAGGTTCATTGCAACTTTTCGCATCTCATCCACCAGGCCTGCACACAAGCAAGAGCAAAGGCAGTCAGGGAGATTTCAAGGCCAAATGCGAAGCAATGATATCCTCATTTCATAGAATTCAGTCATGGATATAATTGCCACTGGAGGCAACAACAGCACCATCTGTGGCATTTGTACACAATACTGCATCGAGCACCAACGCAACATGATTTGCAAGCCTGGGCTTCTACTGACAACCTTGTGCCACCTACCCCAAGCGTTCAGTGGAAACTCAACTACATCTGGAATGCACAAAATGGTTTGGAGATGGCCTTGTGCACCTATCCGATGGCTGCCTGCCACATAACTGGAGACCTTGCGTAGGCACAAATACAACATGAAACCAAGTCCTTCAGGTTTCACCTCTGTGCCACCCTGATCTGCACCTGCAGGCCCCATCATCAAAGTGCAGGAGATCGTCCTTACTGAGCCCTGTTGACTGGGAGTACCGAACTGCTGGAAATTGGGTGAGGGGAGCAGAAATTTCCTGATATGGCTGCATCGATTGAAAAACATTCGATAGGAGAACAGCCAATCGGAAAACAGTCACTAGCATGTGACTATTGGAAAAAATGGTTAAAGAACATCAAACAAGGGCAGCCCTATTGCAGCAAATTGGAGCACAGTCTCTTGACCGGTGAGCCCCTGACAAACCTCCCCAAACCCGTCACTGCCAAAGTGCCATTCACTTATTGCTTCAGATGGATGGACATATATGCTATCTGTAAATGGTGCTGCATGAGCACCCTGTGAAACTTTGCTATTCCCACAGATTTCAATAGAGATGACTAGCCATCTTGGTGGCGACCACACTGTCGTTCACTGTTTCAGATTGTCGCTAATGCCATCAGAGCTCATGCAACAGGAGTGTGCTGGAGGACTGCTCCCAGAGGATTCAGGGGTGGGATTTTCCCTGACGTTATGCCAAACTGGAACATAGCCTTTTGCAGGCTTTTCATTGTGAAAACCACAACCAATTCTCTGCCACACAACAGGCCAAGGAATGTTGTGATTGAAGGAGTCTAGGAGATCACGTGATACTGAGGTTACTGCCAGCAACTGGATTTCAGGCGCAACTTGCAAGCTGCCACTGTCATCGACCATTATTGCATCTGAAATGCACAGCTAAGTCAATTGGATCAATCACAGCGCACTAGCTAAGTGCAACAAGGACGTGATACTTGAGCAATGAATAGGCATCCCAAGGCACAACCCTTGATATAAAAAGTGCCAGACTGCTATTTTGATGCCATCAGCAGTTGAGATTTGATCTGAACAATTTTCTTCCAAATTACCATTATAATCTCAGTCTGCACTGATTGTTCCATTGACTGTGTTTGACCATGAAGTACGCAAGGGAAATGGTCTTGTCATTTGCAGCGGCCAGCCACCCTAGCACTGCACTACGATGCTGCCAAGCTCCGTGGAGTTTGCCCCCATTTCGTTCGTTTTGGTTTGACAACCTGGCGACAGGGCTAACACTAGTGTCTACTTTCCCTACTTTCTGAGGCAGGGCTCTCAGCGCCAGCTGCAAGGGAGATGTACCACACTTCTGTATCATGCCGAGGCAGCAGGCCTCTTCATGCCGACAAACCAGTTTGCGTGGACCAGCTACAGTGCCGTGCGCGCCATCCTCTGCACAAACTTTTCAGCACGTGTCTGGCCACAAAGAGACTACCGACGAACATGAGGCACAACAGAAGGAACAATGCGATGACCATCACCACTTCGCAAATTCTGCACCTACCAACTTGGGATTGTTCAGTGACCCCCAGCTGTGCGGCCCGCACCGTGGGTGTGCTTTGGGCGCGCCATCCTCTTGTACACAGCTGAGACCGAGCTATCGCAGGTCGTCGACTTGCATGGCGCGCAGAGCTCCCCACGCAAGGAGGGGACAGCCCAGGGGGCGCCGGCAACTGTGCTCTTGACGACATAAGCAGATGGCCGCGACCAGCAGAGGCAGGCAGCGTGAAAACAGCCAACAGCGCGCTCTTTATCAGCCCGTCATCTTACAAGAGAACAGCGCCAAGAGACTCGGCGTCCCATTGTATGGGAGGTGATGCCAGTTGATTGCCCAACCCAACGCAGACCACAACACTGGAACGGGGTAAACACACGCCCAGCCTTGGCCACGATGACTGATGGTGTACTGAGAGCAGGTCACTCCCGCATTTGGACCCGACTGAGGACACTACATTCGTGATGGGGTACCGGCGGCGATTGCCCGTAACTGCTCATGGCACCAATCCGTGTGGAGTCCGCTATTGGAGGGGATCGCCAAATTGTTGATGATGTACTTTGCATCGAATCTGACATTGAATGAGGCGTCAACATATCACACCTATTTATTCATCATATCATACGATGATCAATAAATTAGTGGTGTGTGAAGTCCACTATGGGATGATCGCCCATGTGCTACAGCATATGGAAGACCGCCCCATTTCGGACTCTATTTGGCATATGAACGTCCAGTTCAATTGATACCACGACTGCAGGATTGCAGTATGGACAACATTTTAATCCATTTTTTAAATTTATTTATTAAAGCAAAAAAACGAAACTTGCACTTTAGCAATCAGCCTATTCTCTTTAAATGGAGTTTTATACATTTCACCCAGAATTTCCCACTTCAAATATTCATTATTTCATTCCCATGATATACAATTGCAAACATTCATAGGTGAAATGTCACTGTATCGCTTTACCTCTCATCATGCACATGCGCATCTCCCATTCTTATCTCTCTACTTCTTGTTGCATTTGTGATATCATCATTGCATTGGCAGCAAGTCTTTTGTCCTAAATATGGATGCTTCGTAATATGGAGTCCATATTCAAGATATGGGCGCCCATATCTTAGAACATGCCCATGCCCTCAACAATTATCAAAGTTTCCTAGCCCTCGCAATCTGAAATGCTGCCATTACAGTTAATTGTGCATATCAATAGGAGAGAACACAAGACAAAAGATATTGCTGAGCATATTTAGAAGCCGTTGAAAGGAGTCGTTGCAATATGATTACAACAAAGACGTACTTGAATAAACTCGAGCACTCCTGAAAGAGTACTTCAAGAGTGTTGGGCGCCCCTCCAAGGGTGCCGCCCTGGATGCGCATACAGGAGGGAGGGTGCGCGGAGACCGTCACTCGGGAAAAGATTCATTACAGTGGAAGCGTAACCTCAGTTATAATCGTAGTTTAAGAATAGCAATTAAGCTTAATCAAATGGAAACAACCTAACCCGCTAGATTGCATCCACAAAGCCCGGCCTATCCACCGAACTAAGGCAGCTACATGTCATGACCTAACTAGGAGACACTCAACCAGAATAGGTCATAACAAAGAGTGCTCGAGTTTGTTCGTATGCAAGTACTGAGTTTTTACTAATTAGAAATCGAACTCAGAATCACACCATGAACTCCCAATTTCCTCAAGTGCCCCACGTCCACCATCACAAAGCAGCGACCCACAGCACCAGACATAGTAAAACAATGCCCAATCGATTGGCAGCCGTCCACACCACAGCCAAATTATAGAGTGTATTTATGATCCAGCGCATGAATAGCTGCTTGCTCAATAAAATGGTTGCAATTCTTTTGGTGCCAGAATTTAACGCCCTTCAACCTGATGTGCAGTTTTGTTTCATTTTTCTTGATGAGTTTGCAACACATCAGTGCGTAGCCACCAAGCAACATTATGTAAATGCAATTTCTCTGATCCCTTCCTAATGATTCCCTGTCGTGGATCAACAGCTAGGCACATGCCTCTATGTTGGACGCCTAGGGGCCCAATTTTATTCAAGTTGATTGATTCATAGCTATTATCAATCCAAACTTTAAGCATGCGAAAGTTTTGCATACCCGTGCCTATTTGTGCACATCAATGAGAGGGCGCCAAAGTGGTGAGCTCTCCAGCACTTGGTGCCCACCCCCTAGGATCACAGCTCGGATGGCCCTCTTAGCTTCCAGCTTCCAGCTTTCTATATTCTGTTGGTTTTTGATAGCTACCCTTGGGGCTTGTTCGATGTACAATAGATTACTGGCAACACTGACGATAAACTTGCAAGCCCCTAACAATTTTTAACATATGGTTATAACAGCAAGTAAGATGCTTTGCCACCACTAATTGTGGTACCACACTCATTAATGTGCATTTTTTACCCTTCAAACCTCCTATGTCCCAAAACTGTTTAATTCCTAGTAATATAATTTATATTACTAGCAATTTAAAATTGCAACTTTAACTTTCTAGAGCCCCCAACTCTCTTGGCTTATCTTCTGCCCACTAGCATTCCTATCCTGTGCTTAGGCCCTAAATCCTAACTATTTGCATCTCATATCAATACCCTGGTTGACTGCTCATTCTCACAATCCTTGTACCATTGCCATTCCCAATGATAAGCCTTAGTCTTATGCGCACTGTTTACATAATCTTATTTTTATTATGTAACAATTATGCAAAAGCTCATTTTATTATTGCATTGCTCAAATACTATTTAAGTTTCTCATAACAATGCCATAGATCAAAATGCAACTTGGGCTTTTAAGTATTCTCTCATGAGTGATTTGTCTTGTACTAGTAAGTTCAATCGCCACACGCACTGCATTGGCTCAACTGGCATGATTGTTGTAGTGCTGACATGCTATATGACATCAAACACAAGCCTCTTGCATTCAGGTTACCCTGTCAACCTTGACAGAGGAAGCCTGCATTGATGGCCACCCTGGTCGCCTCTCATCATTATCCATCACAAAATATTGTCCATGGGTTTTTCATCCCTCAAGGCAAATTGCTTGGCCAATGGCAATGCCATCATACCCAACCCCGGGGGCCCAAGTGTTCTGTGGTATAGGTTAGCCTTTTTGGACATTGTAGTCGAGAGTACATAGATGGGAGCCATAGTTCATAAAAGAGGCATGTACCCGGTGGGTTGTGTTGGACTATTGCTGATGATGAACTCCGCGGTGCACAACAATTGCTCTCAGTTCGAGCCTTCCTGCCTAGTGTGCAGTGTACACTGCAACGTGATCTCTACCACCCTATTCATTGCCTCATTCTGACCATCAGTTTGAGGGTGGTAGGCACTGAACATCCTAAAAGAGTTTTCCAAAATGTTGCATAGCCCCCACCAGAACTTGAACAAAAAGTGGAGGTTTCTATCACTCACGATGGAATAAGGAATTCCATACAACTTTCCCATTGTATTCTAGTAGATTCGGGTAGTATTAGTAGTTGTAAAAATTTGCTTGACTGGTGCAAGGTGCATCATCTTTGTGGCCCGATCTACAATGATGAGAATTTGATTGTTCCCTGCCTCTAATTTAGGCAACCCTACTATGCAGTCAATACTAACATTTGCCCACTTTTATTTTGGAGTTTGAGAGGCTATAAAAGTCCAGCTGGCACATAGTGGATAGCTTTCTCTTGTTGGTGTACTGGGCACCCCATGACAAAGTTGCGAATATCTAGAGTGTACTCAGTCTAATAGAAAAAACGTTGTGTATCCTTCAATGTCTTGTAGTAGTGAGATAGCCTGAGTAAGGGATTTCATGTAATTCCCTTAGAACTTGCTTTTTGATGTTTGGCACATCTGGTACCACCAATTGCCACTGTGTCCTTAGGTGCTTGTTGCAATCCCTTATCTCTAATAATCCACCTAATAGCCAGTAGGTTTGATCGCCAATAGTAATATCGTTGACCTAGGCTGATTCCAGTTGGGACAGAATGTCGACCCAGCAAGTGTCTTGACAAAGTCCTACTTTAATCCCCCCTCTCATATCTCTCACCAATGAAATTCAGGACCAGGTGACCAAAATTGATGGTCCCGAATTTTCCTCTTGACCCAAAACTGGAGTCACCTCTGGATGACTGGAATCAAAATAGAGTGATCACTTGACTAATAGCGAAGCACATTTCTGAGACACAAAATCATGATTCCCTTTAGGATGTTGTCTTTGCAATGACCCACAACAAACATCACACACCTTGATGATGGAAAAGTCCTAAAACCTCTTCCTCTGGTCTGTATAGTCTAACTTGCTATAGTATTCCAGTCCTTGCATATGTGGAGTAGTTCATGAAGTCCTGGGGGCATCCGCGGCACAGGTCCTCCAACCACAACTTCACAAAAAGCCATTTGCCTTCATACACAAGATCTGCAGCATTTCAAAATAGTCAGGCTCACATCGCAGATGGAACATGCTTAAGGGCATGCACATTTGCACTCATATGGTGGACCAACAAAGATGGCTGGATGCCGCTGCACCAGGCATTGCAACTCGAAGGCAAAGGCTCCCTTTTGGATATTTTTAGTAGCAATCGTTGCAGGTAGCGAACATATGTTGGATGCCTAAACAGCCTTGCAGAAGTCTGACACACGCCTTCACATGCCTTGCCTCCCACTCCCCAGCCGCACCTTTGCCCTGGTCTTGCTGACCCTTTGGTACTATTGTTTCTTGGTGGCTGCCTGTAGGCCTTGCCATACCATGTTGCTCTGCAAAAAGTACATCAACAAAAACGTCAGGTCCACCACATCATTCCTCTAACTGTGCTCACTGCCGTGGTGGGCCTAGTACATGCCACACAGCCAGGGCCTAATTAGGGAGCCTATTAAGTACTTGCTATCACAGTAGGGCACGTGCTGGAAGGTGCATGGATCTGGGCACCCTTGGCATGGCCAAAGTCGATTGTGTGCGGTAATCCAGGCCTATCGGAAAGTTGTCATGCTTGACGCCATGGTGGATGAGGCTATTGGAGTCCCTAAACTGGCTTTGAATAGCTGGAGGCACAAGCACAGGAACATATAAAGATTAGAGACCCATAAATTCCCATGGCAAAGGTAGGTGCAAGGGGGATTATGGGGATATGAGAATATAATAGACGTGGCCGCTCAGCTTTTTTTCTGTTAATTTACTTCTATAATTTTTTTGTAC